TAAACGGCTGATTAATCATTCCACCAAGGCGGTCAGGGCCAGACATCACGGAAAGAACATCAACCTGGAGAGGCAATTTGTGAGTTCGTTCCATAATCCCTTTATCTTGTCCCTACGTCTTGCATTCATTTCTTATTTCGAATATTCATAACTTTACTAATAATTTCGTAAATTAAGTTACAAAAAAGTTTTCTTTTTCGAATATACCCCCTATTTTTATTTTACTGTCCCACTTTCATAAATATTGCATAAATGAAGCTATTTTAAATCATTTTTATATCGCATTTCAGTGACTCGCATAGGCAAGATCCCGTTATTACGCGTTGGCTTGCTTGCTATATACCTATCTACGCGTGCCGACTGCCTACACTTGCGCTGACGACGCGTCAGCTGGTTGCACCGCACGCTTTGCATTGTTTCACTTCCGCACTTACACATTTAAGTATTCGTTTCTTTTGTCATTTTTACGTTTTGCAATCATTAATTTGGAAAGCTATTTAACATATTTAATATTATATAACGTGTAAAAGCTGTAATTTCACCTACCTTCACTTTGTTTACATATGTGGCGACTCCCACATACAAAGAAACAGAAACATACTACAGCGCCATCTAATGAAGACACACCGAAATACGGAGTAAATACTAAATAAGAATTGCTAATCCTGTATCGCGATATGAAGAATTCCCTCGCCGATTAGCATATATACAACTTCCCAACATCAACCGTTGGGCCGCGGCCCGCCAGGCATGATCACCTCGCCTGGTCGGAGGATCCTCCCTTTGTGTTGGAGGGACATGACACCCGTTCCTCCACAGTGGTGACCCCGACGTGATTTGAAGCAGCCTTCAAAAGGAGCAGATCATCAGCAGCACCATCGTGTACACTCCCACAGCGATGAGCAGTAATCAAGTCTCAGCCAGCCAGCAACCTCGGCCTCTACAGGGATACCACACGCAGGTAGCGACCGCTCCAGCCTGGTTACCTCTACGGCCTCATCAGCGTCTAGGCACAGCACACTGCACCTACGGTCCACGTAAGAAGAGCATTTTCTCTCCCGTCTACGCAGCAGCCAGCCACTACGCAGCAACCGCCCCGACTCACTGGGGACTTCACCGCAGCACCGCGCACCGCACGCCATCCCGACTCACTGGGATCAGCGGACTTCAGTTCCGACTCACTGGAACTAGCGGCACTCAGTTCCGACCCACTGGAACTAGCGGCACTCAGTTTCGACTCACTGGAACTACTCACTACTGGCACTGGCACGCTCCACAACAGGGCATAGACAGCTGACTCATCATATATCGACCTCCGGTCTTGAAGGGGAGTGATGTGGCGACTCCCACATACAAAGAAACAGAAACATACTACAGCGCCATCTAATGAAGACACACCGAAATACGGAGTAAATACTAAATAAGAATTGCTAATCCTGTATCGCGATATGAAGAATTCCCTCGCCGATTAGCATATATACAACTTCCCAACATCAACCGTTGGGCCGCAGTCCGCCAGGCATGATCACCTCGCCTTTTCGGAGGATCCTCCCTTTGTGTTGGAGGGACATGACACTCGTGCCTCCACACATACCTACCTTCGCTTTGTCTACATACCTACCTTGCCTATTAAATAATTTAGAATTGTTAATGCACTTTATTAATAATGTCCAAGTTAGCTGAATTAAAAAGAAAACGCAGTTCATACAAATCTAAGCTCACGCAATTTAAATCATATTTGTCTTTGCTTTCAACTTGCGAAAAACCTAGCCTTGTACAGCTTAGTGATCTAAATCTCAGACTAGCGAAAATAGAGGAGTGGTATGGTGAATATGACGTATTACAGATTGAAATCGAAAGTTGTATGGATATTTCAGAGACCGACTCCGAGAAGGAGTACCTGTACCGCGAACAGTTCGAGACAGAGTACTTCGCGACAGTCGGCGGCGCGCGCGAGCTGGTAAGCAGGTTCACCTCTGCGCAGTCTGGCCACGACGCGTCCGCCTCCTCGGCGGCAGGTATTGTCCTTACAACAGGTGTGCCAACTTTAAGTCTACCAATTATTCAGCTACCTACCTTTTCTGGACACGTTGAAGATTGGCTTAGATTTCATGACACTTTCACATCACTTATACATTCTAATGATAGTATTCCGAAAATTAACAAATATCATTACTTGCAATCTTCATTGAAAGACAAAGCGGCAAATGTAATAGGTTCTTTAGAATGTTCTGCAAACAACTATGACATTGCGTGGAAATTATTGTGTGAGCGTTATCACAATAATAAAGTTCTTATCAGCAATCACATCCAAGCTTGGTTTGATATAGAACCAATAGCAAAGGAATCATTTGAGTCATTAAGAAATTTATTAGATTCTTTGAATAAAAATCTCAGAGCTCTTGAAAGCCTTCACATAAACACACATAATTGGGATACACTCATAATACATATGGTGTCTAGTAAACTTGACAATAGTACTAATAGACATTGGAAAGAATACACAAATAGATTTGAGGCTTTGCCAGACTTAGATAAGTTAGTTAAATTTATTAAAGAACGTGCAGGTTTGCTAGAAACAATAAGTTTGATCCAGGTCAAACGTAGGCATAGTGAACCGACAACTTCACGACTACGCACATTCATTGCAAATAATTATAATAATACACAAATAAGCGAATCTTTTTATGAGTGTGGAGTGTGTAAGCAAAACCATGCTATTTATCAATGTCCCACCTTTAAAGCTTTATCTATTAATAATAGAATCAGCAGGGCAAAACAATTAAAGCTCTGCCTTAACTGCTTACGTTTTGGGCATGAAATAAATAAATGTAGATTTGGTCCATGCAGAATATGTGCTAAACGGCACAATACGATGCTGCATACAGAAGACATGTCTAGGAGTGAACTCAAAGTGACAACTCCCTTCGACGTGTCCTCCACAGATGACAAACGTGTCACGTTGGCAGCTCGGGAGGTCAATGACCCTGATACCTACAATAATAATTCACATTCCTTTGGCGATGACATTACTAACGAGGTTGTCTTGTCATCTATACATAATAATTCCGTTCTATTATCCACAGCACTCATTGATGTGGTCGATAGTAATGGTACACGTCACACTGTTCGCGCGTTATTGGATAATGGTAGTACTTCTAACTTTATAACTGATAAATTCAGGAAAAAATTAAGGTTACCTATTTATCCAACCTTGACAACAGTGGAAGGGTTAAGTTGTGAATCTCTTCATATTAGTTCACGTTCTGATATAACTATATGTTCACGTACTCAAAAATACACAACTGAAATTAATTGCTTTGTTATACCATGTATAACCAAAATGATACCAGCCAGACATTTTGATATAGCACATTTAAATATTCATAAAACCATACAATTAGCTGATCCATCATTTAATCAACCATCTGATATTGATATATTACTTAACGCTAATGTATTTTGGAGTGTATTGGGTAAGGAACGCATTTCATTAGGTAAAGGTAACCCAGTTCTTGTAAGTACTAAATTTGGTTGGTTGGTGTCAGGTTCGATGCATTCACAAAGGGTGAAAGCAAACCAATTAAATAATAATACAGTCCATTGCTATTTTTCAAATGATATTGAGCTGCAAAACAAATTAGACAGATTTTTTGAATTGGAATCTATACCGACCCCCAAACATGGAGGTATGTACCTACTAATTTAAACCCAGCTGACATAGGGTCTAGAGGCTGCACCGCAACCCAACTAAGAAACTCAGTTTTGTGGTTCTCTGGTCCATCATTTTTGATGCAACCAGAGGCTCAATGGCCCACTCAACCCAATTATGTGCCTCTATCTTTGCCCGAGACTAAGGCTGAATGTAAACTTGCTACAGTAAACAACAATAATAATTACATTTTAAATTATTCTAACTTTTCCAAACTAAATCGAGTTACAGCTTACATTTTGAGATTTATTCATAACTGTCAAAAACCTGTGTACAAATTCACTGATCACTTGAAGGTATCTGAGTTGAGCTCTGCAACATATACCTTATGTAGGATGGTACAGTTGGATAACTTTCAGGAGGAGCTCACCTCGTTGTGTAAGAATAAATCATTGCCAAGTAAATCAAAAAATTTAAACTTAAATCCTTTTATTTCCAATGAGAAATTAATTCGTGTCGGTGGCAGATTAACTAATTCCAATTATAATTATGATACAAAACATCCCGTCTTCCTACACGCGTCACATTATATCACTAAGTTACTAGTTAAGCATTATCATACAATACTCAGGTCCCCAATTAATGTTATCCATTTTGAGGCACAAATTCTGGATATTAGGAGGTCGTAAACTAGCTAGAAAAATAACACACGAGTGTCATAAATGTTGTAGGTTCGCCGGGAAATCTATACAACAAATTATGGCCAACCTACCGATAGAACGAGTTCACACTGACTTTCCCTTTCTTAACACAGCAGTAGATTATGCGGGCCCTATTCTAATAGTGAACAGAAAAGGTAGAGGCTGTCAATTAATAAAATCATACATTTGTGTATTTGTCTGCCTAGCTGTAAGGGCAGTGCACTTAGAATTGGTGACAGACCTCAGTACTGAGGCGTTCTTGGCTGCTCTAAACAGGTTCGTGGCTCGCAGAGGTAAGCCTGCCAGTATATATTCTGATAATGGCACTAATTTCATAGGGGCTAGTAAAGAGCTTTCCAAATTTTTGAAATCAAGATGTGGTGACATTAGTTTGAAGGCGGCGGAACAATCTATTCATTTTAAATTCTCCCCCGCCTATAGTCCACATTACAATGGTGTAGCTGAAAGCTCTGTAAAATCCGTAAAGCATCACTTAAGGAGAGTCCTCTCACAGGCCAATCTAACATACGAGGAGATGAACACTACACTCGTATGTATCGAAGGCATCTTAAACCCCTCTTTCATCCGACCCAAATGATCTTATCCCGTTGACCCCATCTCACTTCCTTATAGGACGTACACTTACAATGCTGCCTACTTCTCAGGTTGATGTGGAGGAGACGGCCAGAATTTGCACTCTGCCGAGATATAAGAGGGCGCAAGTTCTAACTCAACACTTCTGGAATCGTTATTATTTGGAGTACATTTCAGATTTGCAGAGAAGGAACAAATGGAAGCGCAACAGTGAAGAAGAGTTGCGCGTTGGAGATCTATTGGTAGTCAAAGACAATCGGCTTCCACCCAATCGCTGGTTACTCGGACGTATTTCCCGCGTGCATCCCGGCCGCGATGGCATCACCCGCGTCGCCGACGTCACCACAGCGTCTGGAGTTTTGGGGAGAGCATACAATAGGCTCTGCTTACTACCTACATCTTGGAACTAGACGTTCCAACCCGGGGAGCCTGTTAACGCACGTTAAGAACGCGCATCGGAATGTCATCGCGTCGCCTCCCCACGCAGCCCGCGGCCCCGCTCTCTCGCCCGCCGGACAGCGCACACGAAGCACGTTGTCACTCATAACGCACACCATTGTCAATTTTTACCTTTTAATTGATTTTTTATTATAACATTATATAAATGTCAAGTGACTTGTGCTTAATTTCTGGAACCCGCTTAGAAGATTCCTAACCAGTTACTTTAGAGCGGACAGTACGATAAGAGCCCCGAATACAGTGTGCACACTCTTTTATTAAGGTTTACCCCTCTCTAACCTAGGCTCTGTATGCGTCACTATGACGTTTGTGTGTCGTTGATCTTCCGTAGAAATGATCCGGATGCGACATATATATCCTAAAAACCTTCTCTGAATGCGCTCTATTCTATCAATATAGACGTTATACATCGGATTTCATACTTGAGAACAGTATTCTAAGTGACTGCGAACTAGGGAACAATAAAGTATTTTTATTGTTTTAATATTTTTAAAGTCTATTGAAACTCTGAGTAGGAACCCCAATGCTTTGGAGGCTTTGCTAACAATGTTATAAATGTGTGTATCAAACAGTAGTTTCGAGTCAAAAGTAACACCAAGGTCTTTAATGTTACTGACTCTAGACAATGGGGTATCTAATAATTTATAAACCTGAAATATTGGGCTATGTTTGCGTGTAAAGGAGCACACGTAACATTTATTGACATTTAAATCCAGTTTATTCGTTTTGCAGTACGCCTGAAATCTATTGAGATCTTCTTGTAGTTCTATGGCGTCCTGGACCCTATTTATCTGTTTCATTACTTTTAAGTCATCGGCATAAAGAATAATTTTTGAGGTTAGGAAGCAGTTACCTATATCGTTGATGAATATATTAAATAACAGAGGTCCCAAAAGCGATCCTTGCGGGACGACCGAAAGAATATTTGTAAGTGTTCCTCTAGACGTATAACCATTTAGTACAACAGTTTGACATCTGTTTTCCACGTACGATGTAAACCATCGAAACAAATTGCCGCCGACACCCATACTCAAAAGTTTACGCATTAAGATTGTGTGATCTATTCTATCGAAGCATTTACTGTAATCGGTGTATATAACATCGACCTGTGACCCATGTGACATGAATTTAGAAAGAAAATCACAACACCCTATAAGATTAGATGTGGTAGAACGACCCCTTAGAAAGCCGTGTTGGTGTTCACCAAAACCAAGTTTGAGGGCAGCGTAGACTTGTCTGTATACGATTTTTTCTATAATCTTTGCGAACACACACGGCTTCGAGATGTGTCTGTAGTTTTCGATCATATTTTTAGGTCCCTTTTTATGTATCGGTGTAATATACACCGACTTCCAGATTGTAGGCATCTTACGCCAGTATCAAGAGACCGCCTATATAGAATAGAGAGAGGGATGACAAGGCTATTGGCACAACTCTTAATCAATAGAGGCGAGATGTCGTCCGGCCCAGCCGACTTATTAGTATCCACATGTTTTAATAAATTATAAAGTTCATCCCTGCTGACTTCGATGGATGTAATACATGAGGCGACCTGTTCAATGTTATGCTCACTGTTCAGCGAAGAGCTGTCGTGAGGGCTTGTTGAGAAGTGGGAATAGAAATATTCGTTGAACATATCGCATATCTCCTCACCATAGCTAGTAAAATGCTGACCGAATTGCATCACAGTTGGATATTGAATTGACAGTCGTTTAGACTTAACATAACGCCAGAAGGCTCGTAAGTTTTTCTGAATATTGTTTTCGATGTTAGATATATTATTTTCTAAATAATTGGTTATCGAACTCTTTGACCCGTTGACGTAATTTTACAAAGGAGTGATAATCAGAGATGTTGTAATATTTTTTGAATTTTGAATGGTATTTGGCTTTTTCTTTTATTATTTTAATCAGCGGGATTTTGTACCAAGGTGGGTATTTAACATAAGGTTTAGTGATCTTACTTGGTATGTGGACGTTACGCAGTCGATTGATGGTGTCATACAAGTATGTGGTGGCGTCCTCAAGTGATACAGAGCTCAGTTCGTGGTGCCAATCAACATGATTTAATTCAGCTTGCATCGCGACATAGTCACCCAAATGATAGAAGTACTTACGTACTACGGACGAGAAGATAGGCTGTGCAGCTCAACAAAGTTAGCGGTGATACATAACGCATTATGATGCGGGTCCTCTGGCACGAGCGGGTCAGTGCATCGCGAGACGAATACCTCATTATTTGACAATACCAGGTCCAGTATCCTACTATTATTATTACTGTGACTATTATATTGTGAAAGGCTGCAGATGTTAAAAGAGTCTATGAGAAAAGTCTGGATGTCACCTTGTAGGTTACTCGGATCCAATGAACAACTGTCGGCGGCTGGCTGCCAAACAATATTAGGTTGGTTGAAATCTCCCAGGACAATAAATTTGTCTGTAGGGTGCCTAAGAACTAAGTCACTAAGGTTGTTTGAAAAAGTGTTCAGTTGTACCATTAACGGACTGCCACGATTGTCGCTGCATATGTACACCACACAAATATGAATTCTATAACACACCTTAGGTTTGCTACGATGTAACGTTAGAGTGATCCATAAGTCCTCCGCCGACGAGCACCAATCCCTGCGAATGTCCGACACAAGGTCCCGTATCACTGCTATTTAAACCCATACGAACCAGTCCATGGGGGAGGCCCCCATGGACTGGTTCGTATAACTATAATCTCTATTCCGTCTCCAAACATTGTATCTGTTGTCAAACAATTCGCAATCAGAAATACCATCAATAAGCCAGGTCTCGACTAAACAATAATATCAAAATTATTGACACACACATTTCTATAGAAAACACTTGTTTTCGTTCGCAGTCCTCGAACGTTGTGATAAAAAATACTAATAGGCGCCATCATAAATAAAAGTAATAATCGATATTACAATTTGAGTTAGAATAAGATAAGAAAAAATACCAAAAAATAAAGTAAACAGCACATTCAGTGAAGGTAGTAAGGTAGTAGGCCGACCGTTTATCTGAGTCCTCGCCTGCGCGGTAACAGGGGATATGACGACAAAGAGGACTGAGACAGGTGCGGGCGGCGGGCGAATTTTTGTAATCGCTCATTTCGATCGCAACGCGGACAGTGATCGCACGTTTTAGTTGTTGCGGACGCCTTGTGAGAGATACACATGTGATAACAATCTCAAGATGAATCGTAAGATCTTCGGTCATAAAGTGAATAGTCAGTGCAAGCAAATGGCTTTAAACGTGTACGACTATTTTAGAAAAAGAAACTGGACCCAAATTCTGTTGAATATCAACAAGACATACATTTCAACAAAACCGTAGCAGAAGTTACTGGACTATCGGAAAAGACTGTCCTAGAATCGTACATCAAGGGAAATTATTGAAAGACAACGAAAGATTCAAATCACCGAAAAAATCAAAACAGGTTCGCAAAAAAAGAGTACAAATGGACGATTTCACAAAAGGAGTGGTAAGAAGAAAAGTCACTCAGTTTTATACAATTGATAAAAAAATACCTACTCTGAAAACGTTTAATGCTGTACTTAGAGAAGAGAATATATTACACTGCGGAAGAGAATATTTAAGGCTGTTGTTACATGACCTAGGTTTTAAAATTTAAGAAATGCGGTTCTAAAAGGAAACTCCTTATTGAACAGCCAAATATAACATCGTGGAGGTGGAAATACCTAAGGACTATCAAAAAATATCGTAGAGAAGGAAGACATATTTTAAATCTTGACGAAACATATGTAAATGAGTCTCATAGCGTTTCAAAATGCTGGCAATCCAAGGATGTATATGGCGTACTATCTCATACATGAAAAGGGAACCGTTTGATCATCATACATTGTGGAGGTCAAACTGTATTTGTAGACATTTAAATCCAAATGTATAACAGGTGATTTCGTAAGTTCTATGAATTTCGTAAATTTCAGTAAATGGATAAATGAAAAGCTAATGCCCAATATACCACCAAATTCCGTCATCGTGATGGATAACGCAGCTTACCATTCAGTTCGTGAAGAAAAAAAGCGGACTATGGCTTCTACCAAGGCAGTTATGCAAACATGGTTATGACGACACGACGTGGTTTTCGATGATAAGCTGAAAAAGGACGACTTATCAAAATTGATTAAAAAGACAGAAACTGAAGATCGTCGGATATCGATATCCTCTTAGGAGCGGATATATTTTGGGATCTATTAAATAATGGTAAAATTAAGCTTAGTAATGGTCCATATCTGTACGATTCAAAAATAGGATGGATTATATCTGGCCCTATTTATAATAATCAGTCGTTTAAATCTGAAAGGGTTCAGTGTAATTTAGTTCAAATTAATAATCAATTGAAATTATTCTGGGAGTTAGAAGAGGTGACTGACTTACCAACTGCCATGTCAAAAGGATGATCGTTACTGTGAAACGTTATTTACAGAGACTACGAAACGTGACGAACACAGTAGGTTCTCAGTTCGAATTCCTTTAAAGGAGTCACCCGAATCGTTAGGTGATTCATATACCATGGCTAAAAATCGTTTTTTATCCCTCGAAAGAAAGTTAGACCGTTTACCTAGTTATAAGAAACTTTATAGCGAATTTATTCGAGAATATGAGGCACTTGGTCACATGACCGTAATTGCAAAAAAAGATATTCCCGATTTACTAAGTAAACCGCATTACATCCTACCTCATCACGGTGTCTACCGAGAGGATAGTATCACTACAAAGTTACGCGTTGTGTTCAACGCGAGCGCGAATACGTCGAACAACAAGTCGTTGAATAACCTCCAGCATAAAGGGCCTCCATCACAAAATGATATTTTTTCAATTTTACTTAGATTCCGACAGTATAGATACGTGGCGTGCGCGGACATACAAAAGATGTACCGCCAGGTATTGATACATTCGGACCAACGTAACTTACTTAC